AATGAGATGGATTGATGCAGTGGCTACAAGGATGGGCTCAGGTATAGCAAGGATTGTGAGGGTGGCACACAGGCAGGCCATATTTCATTCTGTTGTACATAGGGTTGCTATGAGTCAGAGCTGACTTGATGACACCTAACAACAATAACAACAGGAGATTATGTTGGTAGGCCCATACTGGAATGGGTTGGCTGGGCCATTATTCTAGTGTGGGTCAGTTTAGTTGGTCTTTGCTGGACTCACTCACATACCTGTGGTCTTCTTGGTGGCTTGGCTGGAGCTAGATAGTTTAGTATGGCCACATTCACATATCTGTTGTTGACTTCATGTCACATGGGGCATTGCTGATAACTTGGCCATGTGTCTCTCGTCATCCAGCAGGTTAGCTGAAGCTTGTTCATATGGTAGCAGAAAAGTTCCTAACAGAATAAATAAAGCCCAATGTGCAAGCAATTTTCAACTCTCTGCATATGTCACATTTGCTTTTCATCCAATGACCAAAGCAAGATGGAAGGCTAAGCCCAATCAGCGTGGGAATGGAGCACCAAAGGGTGGGGTATTACTGTGTCTGTTTTTGCCAACATCTCATCTATAAACAGGTATTAATGTCTACTTATGGGGTTGGTTAAGGAATAAATGAGATAATGTAGGTAAAGTTGTTAACTAACAACTCTCTAGCACAATGAATAAGCAGAGCTGGTAACACAACAGTTAAACTCTGCTGCTAACCAAAACGTTGCCAGTTTGAACCCACCCAGTAGCTCTAAGGGAGAAAAGACCTGGTGGTCTGTTACCAAAAAGATTATGGTTTAAAAAACTTTATGGGGAGCTTCTACTCTGTATATGAGGTTGGAATTGATGCCTTGGCACCTAATAACAATAACAACAGCACAACAAATGCCTCAGTAAATATTCCCCTCTTCCCCTTCCCCAGGAAACTTGCTGAAGTCATACACCAGGCCCTCATCGCCTGACTTTCAATGAGAGGCTTTTTCCAGCTCACTAAAGTTGGGAAACAGGAGAGCCTGTAATCTTCCTTGAATCACATGACTCTTCACTGGTGCAAGATTTAGGGACCAGACATCAGCTCCAAACCCTGCCTCTTCCTTTTTCCAAATGCAGTTACCATTTATTTCAGGAGTCTGCCTTTCTCCCCAGGGAACTGCCTTTTTTCACTGCATCCCTGAAAGTGGTCCACAGAATACCTCTAATTCCCTTACTGCCCTGGGGGCCTGTCCCTGCTGGCCTCATCAGTTCCTGCTCAGCCTCCTCAGAACTGCTCTTTTCCTCAGGGGATTGCCCAAAATAGCTCCAGGAAGATCCCCTTCTCTGCAAACACACATTTCTCACAAAATAAAGACAGAAGAGAAAAGGCTGTTACTGTCCTGGCCTTTCGAAGAGATGCATTTAATTCCCCTTCTTTCTGCCTTTCTTTTTGGTTACTTTCTCCACAGTTTCTGTTTTTCCCATTTCCTTCAGAAACTGAGTATAAGCTTTTGAACTTTTCTTCCTCACCTTAAATGCCTCTAATTGCCTGTCTCACCTGCCACATTTCGTTTTGTCCCTCAAGATAATACTGTGACACTTCTCTCCTTACTTTTCCCCTTCCAATCCCTTCTCCTGTTGGAGTGTAACTCTTAAATTGTGGCTGTGTTTATAAGTCCTTCCCAAAGGTGGAGTGATCTATTGTACTTCCAGTGGGAAACCCTCCAGGTAACTGTAGGCCTCATACATCTTTCTCTCTGCCTGCCCCCCACCCCAGTTTCTCCAGATGTTTAAAAAAAAAAAAAAAAAAACTCTAATTCTCCCTTGAGGCTGTAGGCCTATAACACAGAGTTAAATATTCTAGGGTCATAGCGTATCCTCAGTGAATCCTCCTTTACCCTATTTGGAACCAACTCAGGAGCTCTGGTGGCATTAGTGCCCAAGGCACTTGATTGCTAACCAGAAGGCTGGCGGTTCCAACCCACCAGCCACTCCTTGGAAGGAAGGTTGGGCAATCCACTTCCATAGTGATACTGCCTTGGAAACCCAAGGAGGTCGCTATGAGTCGGGTACTTACTACTTGACAGCAGTGAGGGTTTTTTTGTTTTGGTTTCAGGCCTGCTTTTAGACCACTTTTTTGAGCACCTACAATGTGTCATGCTCTTTATGTACTTTGTTGTTGTTGTTGTTATTATGTGCCGTCGAGTCAGACCCAACTCATAGCAACCCCTCCTTGGGTTTCTGAGGCGGTATCACTACAGAAGTAGATTGTCCAACCTTCCTTCCGAGGAGTGGCTGGTGAGTTTGAACTGCCAGCCTTCTGCTTAGCAGTCAAGTGCCTTAGGCACTATGCCACCAGAGCTCCTTTATGTACTTTAGGGCTCTAATAATCACAAGAACTCCAAAAGGCAGGTGTTAGTATCTCCACTTTACAAATAGGGAAATCAGATAATTTTCCCAGGGTCTCACAGGTAGGTGGTGACAGAGTCTAATCAAAATCTAGCTATGTTTGGCCATGTGTAGTTTTATTGGATCTGAACTTCATTTTAAGCAGAGACAGCCCACCTAATAATTTCTTGCCCTGGCCCAATGCCCGGAATTCTGAGCTACTGCATACCTGTCACCAGGTGGAATTCACATGAGCAGAGCTCAATGTGAGTGCAGGTCTCCCAGCATTCAAGTCCAGCATTCCTCATGCATTGGGAGGGAGAGAAGGGATGCAGAGTTGCGGGTGGCAGGCAGTGCAGCATTGATAGGTCACCGTGTGTGTGCGCACGCGTGTGTGTGTGTGAGAGAATGTGTATGAGTGTCATACCCCGTAGTGCTAGGTTAGTAAAGTCCCTATTAAACCTGTCATTCTGGATAGCTGCTCAGTCTCACAGACTCCTTTGGTTCCCCTCATCTCCCTTGTGGAATATTTTGCCTTTGAATCTGCTGTTTTTCATTTGATGCTATTATTGTATTTGTGCTCTGGACCTGCTCCCAGAGGCCGCTGGGTAAATCAGTGCATTTCAACTGAATTGGGGCAATAAGCAGATAAATAATGCAGCCTCTCCTTTAGGAGAGTTGTTTGCCTTCTAGGTCATAAATCTGTTCTCTACTTAACTTTAGACAAATATCTCCTCTCTGATTTGGCCTGTTTTTGTAATCTAGGAGCCTGCCTAATGCCTAAGGCACTTGACTGCTAACCAGAAGGCTGGTGGTTCAAACCCACCAGGCACTCCTTGGAAGGAAGGTTGGGCAATCTACTTCTGTAGTGGTACTGCCTCGGAAACCCAAGGAGGGGTCTCTATGAGTCGGGTCTGATTCAACAGCACCTAACAAGGAGGCTGCTGGGTAGACCCATAGACCTGGGAGTATAGCAGAGAACTAAAAAAACCCACTGCCATTGAGTAGATTCCAACTCATAGTGACCCCCGTTGGGTTTCCGAGGCAGTAAGTCTTTATGGAAGTAGACTGCCCCCATCTTCCTTCTTCAGAGTGGCTGATGGGTTTGAACTATCAACCTTCTGGTTAGCAGTTAAATGAGAATGTGGTAGTTAAGGTTATGTGTCAATTTGGCTGGGCCTGGTTTTGAGTGGCTGGGCAGCCAGTGGTAGTTTTTCCCCATGATGAGACTGGCAATAAACTCCATGTTGGAATCTGCCGCAAGGAGCTAAGTAGCTGCTTTAGGGGATGTGGTGTGCTTCCTATATATAAGGAGAAACTTTGGGAAAGGTCTGTAGCTTTTGGCACACTTGAATCCTGCGTGTAGCTGAGTCATTATTCAGCAGCCTGCCATGTTGTCTGCTGATCTTGGGACTCCTAATGGGCTTGAATCAATGGCCTGCTCTGTGGTTTGGTGATATCAGGACTGTGTCTTTGTACTTGTTGACCTTGGGTTTGTCAGCCTCAGCAGTCAGCAGCTGCCTGAGTGAAGAAAGCCTCCAGCTTCAGTGGTCCAGGAGCAAGAGGCAGAGCTGAAGCCAAGGTTGAGGAGCTTTCATCCAGACCCTAGAGCCTGGCACTTTGAACTCGAACTTCTAGCCTCCTAAACTGTAAGAGAATAAACTCCTGTTTGTTAAAGCCATCCATCCCTGGTATTTCTGTTAGAGTGGCACAAAGTAACCAAAACAGAGAGCAACTTGGAAAACTGACAATCAGCTAGCAACAAAAGAAATGTTTCTCATTTACTTAAATAGCAGTGTGCCTCTTATGGGAGAAACAGGATGTTAACAAACTGTGTGTGAGTAGGAACTTATCTGGAGTTTTTTGGGTGCTGGAGGAGTGTTTACCCCTTGTCTACCTGCAGTCTCAATGTTCAGAGCAGAAGCTCTGGAACCCAACGCAGACCATGCTTTGGATCAGAACCAGTGCTCCATTCTGCTCTCCACTGTGGTTATAACATAAGAGCCTAGAGGCCCTGTGGCTCTACTTACCTTGATGGCTGGTAGGCTCTTTTGGGTCCATGTTCATGAGGTCAGCTTTCATGTGTCTAGGTGGCTTCATTTAGCTTTTTGGTGATAACTGTACAACCCTAAGCATAGAAGATAAGCTGATAAGCAAGTGACATTGGTCATCAGAGGGAGAGCTCAGGCAGGCAAGTGAGTTCAGCTACTCTTCATCAACTCTGTAATCACTGAGTAGAAAATGTGCCTAGGTTTGGTCATGCCGTCATCATTTGTACCCTTAACCTGTCCATTTCCCTTGTTGACTATAGCTTCTCTTGACTTGATTATGGCAGCAGTCTCCTGGCTAATCTTGGAGCCTCTGGTTTGTCCTTTCTCCAATCCTATACTGAAAGCCTCTTCCAGAAATCACACATTTGTCTAAGCCACTCACTTGTATAAAACTCTTCAGGACTCCTGTTACCTAGAGAGTAGAGTCTAAGCTTGTTAGCATGGCATACAAATTCCTCCATGATATGGCACTTGATTACATTTGCTTTACCTGCTCCGTACCCTTCTCTACCACCTTTTAAGTTCCAGCCATATTGGCTGCATTTGCAGAACCCTGAAATACTATGCAATTTCATACCTCTGTGCCATTGCACATTCTCTGACATATATTGAAAATGCCTGTTCTACTTATCTATTGTTGTTGTTGTTTTTTTGTGCCATCGAGTTGGACCCAACTCATAGCGACCCCTCCTTGGGTTTCCAAGGAGCTCTGGTGGCATAGTGCCTAAGGCACTTGACTGCTAACTAGAAGGCTGGCAGTTCAAACCCACCAGCCACTCCTTGGAAGGAAGGTTGGGCAATCTACTTCCATAGTGATACTGCCTCGGAAACCCAAGGAGGGGTCGCTATGAGTCGGGGCCGACTCGACGGCACACAACAACAACAACACTTATCTATTGCTACATAAAACCAATCCAAAACTTAATGGCTTAAAATGATCATTTATTATTAACCAGTACTGGGGGTTTCCCAGGAGCCATGGTGGCCTAGTGGTTAAGTACTCAGCCTCTAAATGAAAGGTCAGCTATTTGAATCCACCAGTGGCTCCACAAGAGAAAGATGTGACCATCTGCTTCCATAAAGATTGCAATCTGTGAAAACTTCCATATCCATAATTGCCAATTAGTACGCTGATTTGGCAAATTCCTGGCTATTTCACTTCAGCAATTATATTATTCAAACCTGGAAAAACAGTCTTAGACAATTTTGTTTTGCTGGTTTGTAGGCAAATTCCGCAGTACTAACTGAGATGACATACTGCAAATTGGAAACTCTTCCCCTACCTCTTTCCTTGTAGATACTGGCTAAGTACACATTGATTTAATAAGATGGCTTCCCAGCACAGCCAAAAAGCCTCTGTGCTGCATCCCAGCACAATTTAGAGGCTGTACCATTTAGGGGAAGGCTTATGTGATAATTCTAAGTCAAAGCAAAGAAACTAGGTTTCACTGCCCTGTGGTGCTTATTAACTTTGTGCTTCTTTTTCATGTCCTATGCCTGTCAGCCAAAGACCAGCTCTCTCAGGTGGATGAAGAAAAAGACCCATCCAAGAGCCACCCTTACTCTGTGGAAACTCCATATGGCTTTCATTTAGACCTGGACTTCCTGAAGTATGTGGATGACATCGAGAAAGGAAACACCATCAAGAGGATTGCTATCCACCGAAGGGCCAAGCAGGCCAAGTTTAGCACTTTGCCCCGAAATTTCAGCCTTCCTGACAGTGGGGCTCGGCCCCATGCTGCTCTTCCCCACTCAAACTGGTCCCCAGTGGTGCCGAGGAAGGTGTCACTTGGGATGGAGGAGCAAGCTCAGACACTGCCGCTGGGTGGTTCCTCCCAGGCCTCAGCCAGTGGCAGTGAGGTAAGCTACCATAGGAAGGCCTTGTTGGCTGAGGCTGCCAGGCAGTTGGAGGCAGCCCCTCTTGAGGATGCTGAGCTCTTCTCTGGGAGTGGACGGCCCCAGCTTTTGAGAGCATCCAGCATGCCAGCCACACTGCTGCAAAACAGGGCCTCCGAGGAGCCCAGCCTACTCTCAGCTCGCCCCCCACCTCCCACTCTTCCTCCACTTCAGGGTGAAGGCAGTGTCTGTGAAGGTACCTTTGGCCCTGCAGAAGGATTTCCTGGTCTTCACAGCTCCATCCCACAAGTATCAACCCCACCAAAAGTCAGAGAGTTTGGAAACTTAGTGCCAGAGATTCTAGAGTTGGTCTGTGAGGGGGCCAAGCCTCCGGATAAAGAGGAAGTTCCAGATCACTTCTCTTTCCCAAGTCCTTCTTCTTTATCCCAGAATACACTTGTAGAGGATGCAGAAGATGAACATAAAACCAGAGAAGCAGAGGTGGTAGTCACTCCTGGATCCCCAACACCAAGTCCCCCACCTCTGCCATCACCCATCCCTGAAAATGAGTTTCTTCTAGAAGAAATTGAGCTCAACATCAGTGAGATCCCACCCCCACCACCTATAGAGGTTGACGTGAGAAGCATTGGCATCAGGGTGACAGAAGAAAGCCTTGGTCTTGCCAGAGTAGATCCCAGTAGTATCTCCAGCCTGAAGCAGCAGGTCATAGCCCTTGAGGGTGAGTTGTCTGGAAGGAGTGAAGAGCTGGCCCAGGCAAGAGCTGCCCTCCAGCAGCAGGAAGAAGAAATCAAGGCCAGGGAGCAGATGATTCAAGAGCTAGAGTACACTGTAGCTCAACTAGAAGAAAAGCTTAGTCAAGAGAATACCAAAGACACTCAGGGCCAGACTGATGCCATGGTGAACACTGACCCTCTCCATGGACTCTTGACCAGAGAGTCATGTGATAAGAGCATTGGGGTCAACCTTCTGGGCATGCCAGAATCTGAAACCTGGGAGGCCAAAGTAGAGGAGAATGGCTTCCTACTGGGGCAAGGTAACCACAAACAAGGGGATCAGAGCCCATCAGAACATGTGCTGCCTCCCCAACTATCACTGCCACAGGGACCTGAGATGGTCCTCACCTCCTCTTTATATAGCTGCCTCTCTACTGAACTCAGGATTGAAGAAGCAAGTTCTGAACAGGAGGAAGGCCCTCAGGTAGGAGCTAAGGGCCTGGCCAGTGAAGCAGGAGGCTCTTCATGGAACAGCAGCAGAGAGTCTCCCCCAGCAGGGAGGACGAAGCCCAGTCCAGAGCTCCCAGGGAAGAAGTCCCCAGAAAGGCCACCAAGCTCAACCACAGATGTCACCATTGGGCAATATGTTAAGAAGATCCAGGAACTCCTGCAAGAGCAGTGGAACTGCTTGGAGAACGGGTACCCAGAGCTGGCCAGTGCCATCAAGCAGCCTGCCTCCAAGCTCAGCAGCATCCAGAGCCAGCTGCTGAGCTCCCTCAACCTGCTGCTGTCTGCGTACTCGGCCCAGGCTCCCCCTTCGGGACCCCCGGCCCCATGCTCCTCCTCCCCGCCAGTGGGTAAATACTGATACCCCAAACAGGGAACCATTTCTCCTTTACAGGCCCAATGAGAGGGGAAAAACGATCTCGTTCTTGCTCTCAGATTGGGACTGAGTGTAGGGCCACCACATGCAGCTATACAGATAGCGCAGGGCACACAGATGCCAGATGAGGAGGGCAAATGGGAGCCAAAACCCAGCCCATCTGTCTCTTGCCAAGATGTGCATCTATGAAACCATACCCACCCACAGGGCTGCTATTTCTCATTTGTATTACAGAAGGGCAATGGTCCAGGCATTGTGGCCCTGACCCTGTGTCCTCTCATCATTGGCCTCCCCTCAGTGTTTCCTGGGCCACTGCATTCTATATTCCTCTCTAGTTCTCACATTGTATAGGTTTTCTCTAGCATTGTTTTGGAGGAACATTATATGAAGATCGGGAATAGTCCGCTGAAGATTTTCCCTGTGAGTGGTGTATGTGTGCATGTGTGCACACACATGTGAGTGAATGATCCTCACATATGGAAATCTGTCCTTTGGCTGAGTGGTACTTCCTCCTGTAACAGATCAGACACTCTTAACTGTTGAGTAAAGTTGAACCATATTTGGCTTTGTTCAAGAGGCAGTTTGTAAGTCTGCTTCCTGCCTCAGATCACAAGTTGGCTGCTTTCTCATTATTCAGTTCTAGTTCTAGTCTTGCCCATTGGGACATGCTTCCTATACTTTTGAGCACAGCAAAAGGACATCTGTGCTCTTGCTCACTTATCTGCCATGCCTCCCCTGTATCACACCCATCAACTTGCATGTGAGCCAGGAGTGGCCACAGAGGTGACCTAGTAAAGTGGGGTGCTGGGCTATGAGTGAGAGACCTAAGTTCTACTCCTGCCCTGCCATTTACTCACTATATGACCTTGAGCAAATCTGAGCCTCAGATTTCCCAGCCATAAGATAGGGACAATGGCGTCTACCCCACAAGGTACTTCTGTGGGAGTATTCCAATAACCCCTCTCTGATCCACACATAGCCAGTCCCAGTTGCCATTGAATTAACTCTGACTCATAGCAGACCCAAGTGTGTCAGAGCAGAACTGTACTCCGTAGGGTTTTCAATGGCAGGTTTTTCAGAAGTAGATCACCACACCCTTCTTCTGAGGTGTCTCTGGATGGATTCCAACTTCAACCTTTCCCCAAAAGGACCCCCAAAACCTTGTATTTAAATCATCTGACTTCCCTGTCCCTCTCTGCCTCCTCACACATCCTCAACCTGTATCAGTTCAAAGCAAGATTTCTGGTTTTGCTACTTTCTGGGACATCCCCAGGGTCTTTCTAACCTGTCATGTTGTGTCTGCCTAGAGATCTCCCCGTCGACCAGCCTTAAATCCATAATGAAAAAGAAAGACTATGGCTTCCGTGCAGGAGGTAATGGGACCAAAAAGAACCTTCAGTTTGTTGGGGTTAACGGTGGGTAAGCATCGCTCGTGAAGCTCAGACTGCCTTCCTTGCTACCTCTCTGCTGTTGTCCGTAGCACTCTTTCCTAGGGGGATGCATCTGGCTTTCATTCTTCTTCAAGGGAGTTCATCTCAATGGCCCTTTAAAACTCCATCTTGGGTTTGCATGTGTTTGGTTCCTTGCCAGTGCTTGTGGTCTGTTGGAACCTATGCTTTTCATATGTTTTGACTTTTGTCTCCCCCAGTGCCAGGATATCTAGGTGGCTTCTGGGAGTTTGGGGACCCAGGGCCCCTTTTAGGAAGGTATTTAACCTGAACCTCAACACTAAAACTAATACAAACTCTGTTGAGTTGTTGACTTTCAAATTTAATCCATTTCTTTCTTTCTTTAACTAATTGCAGACAATCGAAGTGTTTTGGGAAGAAGAACAAAACTTTATATATTCTAGACAAGACAATGTTGGGTTGACAATGTTTTCTAAACCATTCATTCAACAAACAATTATTAAATACGGAGAATGTGCTAAGTGACTAGGATTGGAAAGAAAAAAAAATCCCGATCCTTGCCTTTAGTTCATCAGTTGGGCATGGGCAGAGATAAGACAAGAAGGAAAGATGAAATGATAACACACCGAGATAATTTCTGTTAGAGAAGGAAGCATAGGGCGCTGTGGAAGCCCAAAGGAGGGGCTCTCAGCCTAGTCAGGTTATGAGTCCTGGAGGCGATCCAGAGAGGTAGGAGTCCCTGCTCATTTGGGTCACACCAGAAGGGAAGACACTAGATGCAAACAAGGGGTGACATCACTGGTCTGTGTTCTGTGAGGAAAAAACATGAGAAGTGATGAAATGAGATGTCATAGGAGAGTTGGTGTCCCCACTTCCGTTAATGTTGGCCTAAGAAGAAACCATTTTGTTTCGCACTTTCACCACTTCCTTTACCAAAAATAACAACAAACAAACAAACAAAAAATCCTGGTCCTTGCATTTAGTTGATTCCAACTCATACTGACCCGTGTATTATAGAGTAGAACTGTTCCCAAAGGTTTTCTTGGCTGTAATCTCTACAGAAGCAGATTGCCAGGCCTTTCTTCTGTGGTGCTGCTGGGTGGGGTGAACCACCAACCTTTCAATTAGTAGTCAAGGACAAGCTGTTTGCACCAGCAAGGGACCTTATTGAAAAGAAGAAGCCTAATTTCAAAGCCTAAATCAGGTCATTAATTTGCTTAAACCCCCAGTGGTCCCTACTTTGGGCCAGAATCTGGAAGCCCCAGATCATGTCCCCCTCAGCCACATTCCTGTCTCTGACCCCTGCTTTTCTCCCTTACAATAGGTGGAGCTCAGGCATCTCAGGGCCTTTGCATTTGTATTTGCTGTTCTCTTGCTGGAAGTGCTTTTCTCCCAAACATTCCTCATCATTTGTCTAATGTAGTGCTTCTCAACCTTGGCTGCACATCAGAGACATCCTTAAAAAATATTGATATCTGGATCCTATCCCCAGAGATTCTGATTCAGTTAGGCCATCATGCGGTCCAGGTGTTGGAATTTTAAACACCCCAAGCTATCCTAATGTGCAGCCCAGGTTAAGAATTTTTGCTCCAATTAAGGAGCCCTTTCCTCCCATCACTCCATCCCATTGCCCTTTGTAATTTATTCACTGTTCTTATAACTATCTAAGGAGCTCTGATGGCATACTGTCTAAGGCATTTGACTGCTAACCAGAAGGTTGGTGGTTTAAAACCCACCAGCCACTCCGCAGAAGGAAGACTGTCCTCAGAAACCCAAAGAGGGTCACTGTGAGTGGGAATCAACTTGTGGCAGTGAGTTTGGTTTTTTGTTTTTGTTTTTGTTTTGTTTTTTAATCACTATCTGAATAAATTATTTGTCTACATATTTCTTTTCTACCTTCTCCTGCTAGAATATAAATCTGTTAGGGCAGGGACAAGAGCCCTGGTGGCACAGTTGTTACATGCTCAGCTGGCTGCTAACTGAAAGGTTGCCAGTTCAGACCCACTCAGCAGCTCCACAGGAGAAAGGCCTGGTGATCTGCTCCCATAAGATTACAGCCCAGGAAACCCTATGGGGTAGTTCTGCTCTGTCTCATAGGGTTGCTATGAGTCAGAAATCAACATGAGGGCACCTAACAACAACAACAAAGGGCAGGGACTTTGGTAAAGCATCAAGAATGGTGCTGGTACATAGTACATGCTCAGTAAATTTCTATTGAATGAATGAATGAACTTCCAGGTAAAGTTGTTACTGATCCACTTATAAGAAAAGCATTGCTTTGTGAATGCAATATGTCCCCCACACTCTTAATCACAAAAGACAAAGATTGTCCAAACTCAATAAAGAAAGAAAGATCTGGGGTTTAAGCAAGATGAGACTGTGTGCATACTAGGGAGCAGATTGGGTTTGCAATTGCAGTGAGCATAGAGACCTTACAGTAGCTAACATTCAGAGAAAGGGCCTTTGGAGGTTCAGTGGAGGCTGTGGCCACTGGCCTTCCTGGCTGTGTCCCGTGGCCCCAGAAATGGAGCTGTTCATCTTAACACCAGCATCCCCCACCAGAGGTCTTCTGCTGACCATCAGCAGAGAGATCAGTAAGTCTTCCAGGATTTTCTCCCTGACTTCTGGTCTATCACCTCAATAGAACCATTTGTAATTGAATTTATGTAATGCTGTTGGGGAAGGGGCCCACAAGTCAAGTGGCCTATGCTCTTACTTTTGTTGTTCTAAGAGATAAACAGGCTGCAAGTGAGAAAGGCAGATGCTGGTGTTAAGATATCTCTACTGTGTGGGAGCTCTGGTAGCATAGTGGCTAAGACACTTGCCTGCTAACCAGACGGCTGGCGGTTCAAACCCACCAGCCACTCCTCGGAAGGAAGGTTGGGCAATCCTACTTCTGTAGTGATACTGCCTCGGAAACCCAAGGAGGGGTCGCTATGAGTCTGGGCCGACTCGACGGCACATAACAACAACAACAACACTGTTCACTGTATCCCACGGAATCCCGGCTATGAGTAGATGCAGATGAGTTCATTCCTTGTCAGGTGTAAGCTGGTACAGCAGGAGGGCTAAAGGAAGGTCTCACGATCACCTAATGTCAGGCAATTCAGATAACTCAGCAGAGTTACATTTGAGTCCCTCTTTGCACCAAGCATTAGAATTCTAGAAGCAGATGCTTCCAAGAGAACTTTAGATTGCTTGACCAATTAGGGGACTGGCTTTCGTGTGCTTACTGCAAAGAACTTATTTCATTACCTTTTCTCCCCAAAAAAATGGCCTTCACCTTTATTGCATGTTTCTCTGACACAAAGTTCCTGGGGAGCCCCTTTCCCCAGCCTGCAGGGAATGATGGTTGTGATTTACGGGTTAGGGAGTGTTATCTGAGGTCACCTGAGTCCCATTAGTGCTGATACAGGCATTGGGCAGGAAGGACAGAGCTAGTGACCTTTGTCTCCTCCCCTAGTTATGAGACCACCTCAAGTGAGGAGACCAGTGGCGAGGACAGTTCCCCTGAAGACTTGTCCGACAGCGAAGCTGAGAAGAAATGTGATGGCCCTGAACACAGGCGGGGTAAAGACACTCAACCCAGCTATGAGGCCAGGCAGGGTGTCCCCGAGGGCACCCACAGGGCAGGCCAGGAAAGTCAGCCTGGGGAAGAAATCCTCCATCCCAAGGCTGAGAGGTGAGTCAAAAGGGTATAAGTGGAGCATGTGTTTCTCTAAGAAAGGGCAAGGGTGTCTATTCACCATTTCATTCAATCATTTGTTCATCTGCTCAGTTACCAGTACTTATTGAGTTTATATGCCAGGCACTGGGCACTGGTTTAGTTAACCTGTTGTGACACCTGTCTTCATTATACTGTCATGGTGTCTTAGTTTCCTAGAGCTGCAGTAGCAAAATACTACAGAGTGGGTAGCTTTAAAGAACAGAAACTCATTGTCTCACAGTTCTGGAGGCTAGGAGTTCAAATCAGGGTCTCAGCTGTGTTGATTCCTTCTGAGGGTACAGTGCCTCTCTCCTAGCTTTTAACGGCTGCCAGAAATCCTCAGTGTTCTTTTTGATACTTGCACCTTCACATGGTGCCTTCTTCTTGTGCGTTACTCTGTCTCCATGTCTGTCCTCTTTTATAAAAAGCACCACTTAGAAGGGATTAGGACCCACACTACTCCAGTATGACTTCATTAACTTCACTGACAACATCTTCAAAGAAAGACCCTATTTCAGCAATAAGGTCACATTCACAGATACAAGGGTTAGGACTTCAACATACCTTTTTAGGGAATATAATTCATAATACATAGATCAAGCTCTAGGTATAAAGCTAGATAGAAAAAAAAAAAAACAACAAACATTTATCACATTTACCAGGCACTTAAAATATGAAAGACCTTACATGTATTATATAATCCTTTTAACAACCCTACAAATTAGGTATTAACCATACTTCCCCTTTCAGACAAACCACAAAAACCAAACTCATTGCTGTCAAGTTGATTCTAACTCATATCGACCACCTATAGCACAGAGTAGAACTACCCCCATAGGATTTCCAAGGCTGAGCTCTGGTGGCATACTGCCTAAGCCATTTGACTGCTAACCAGAAGGCTGATGGTTCACACCCACGAGCCACTCCTCGGAAGGAAGATGGGGCATTCTGCTTCCATAGTGATGCTGGCTCTGAAACCCAAGGAGGGATCTTCATGAGTCGGATCCAGCTCAACAGCAGTGAGTAATCTTTATGGAAGCAGAGTGCCACATCTTTCTCCCACAGAACAGCTGGTGAGTTCAAACTGCCAAACTTTTGGTTCACAGCAGAGGGCTTAACTATTGCACCACTAAGGTTCCTTATCCCCACTTACAGATGTGGAAACAGAGGTTTAGAGAGTTACACAGCTAACAGAAAAGGGATTCCCACCCAGTTCTTCCTGATTCTCAACCACTAGCTTTTCTGCTTCTCCCATTGACCATGCTGACACAACCTTGTCCCTTTAAAAGTAAAGGGAGGTTGTGAGGTTATGAAAAGAGCACTGCATATATATCTTTGTGATTTGGGTGAGAGTTCATAGAGCAAATTCATTTTCCATACAACAGTTCATGCACAGTTTCATGATGTTGATTGTAACCCCGATAATACAATAGCTCTCTTCTCACTTCTTCCCTGTGGTTGCCCTTTCCCTGTATCCATTCCTGTACATACCTGCCCTCTGAGCTATCTCCCAGTGCAAATACTGCCATTCTAGTCTTCCATAGTTCATTGTTGTAAGGGGTGTACCTACCTGGTATAAATGCTCACCTTATACACCTATCTGTTGTTTGGCTGCAAGTCAGGGGAGTGAGTCAATTCCAGGCCCTAAGGGTGACTAGGGGCCATAGTCTCAGGTTTTCACCAGTCTATAAAAGAGCACTGCTTTTGGAGTTGGACCCTCAAATTCACATCCTGCCTCTGCCATCAGCTGTGTGACTTGGGACAAGTTACTCAGACTGTGGTGACCTCCATTCCTCATTTGTAAAATGTGGATAATAGCAGCCTGACAGATTCAGTCTGAGGATTAGATGAGCCAATGTCTTAAAAACACCTAGCACAGTGACTGGCACATAGTAAACTCTCAATTTGTGGTGAAAATAAGAATAATAGGGACTATTACCATGATTATCATTATTGCCAGTAGTAATGAGTTTAAGGGAATTTGGGGCTGATCACGGAAAAATATATGACCATGAGATAGCAGTGTTGCACAGCAAGCTATTTATTTGTGCTGATGAATTGACAGCACGTGTAGGGGGCAGTCCCCATCGCAGGCAGTCTTGCAAGTGGCATAGGGTGCCACCAGAAGGGGAAGAAATCATGAAAACCCTGGGGAAAAAGGATAAGAGGTTTTTTGGGGGAGACTGAGGTGTACCTTCAGGACTTCTCCTGCAGCATGGTGGGGAGTCTTTGGGTCAGAGAACTCTGAAGGACACACCTAGCTAGGGGTCCTTATACCTCTAGGGTTTTAAGTTATCTGCAGCTAGCAGATACTTAGCACATTTTCAACGGGTGTATGAAACAGGCAGTCTCTAAGTGGCTAAAATGTATTTATTTGGGCTATTTCTAAAACAACGAATGTGAAAAAGAAGAAGAAACTCAATAAGATGTATTGACTGTAACAGTGGGCTGAAGCACAGCGACAGTTGTGAGGATGGCACACTATCAGGCAGTGATTCATTCTGTTGTATGTAGGGTCTCTAGGAGTTGGAACTGACTCAATGGCACCTAACAACAATAAGTTGAATTTAGCGCATGCAGGCTTTTATGGCCTAATGGGCCTCAGCTTGCTATGAAGAAGTAAATAACTTGGAGTAAATACACTGACATCATGTCTAGCTCATTCCTATAACACCAGCCTAGTTGCAGGAAGAGTGATTAGCAGGGGAAAGTAGCTTATAGGTAGTTGTATGGGGCTGTCCCAACATGGTGTCACCATAAGGATTTGTGGAGTGAGTGAAGCTTCCTGTTGACTGAGGCCGTTAAGTCCCAACTCAGTCCTCTCAGTGCTGAGAGACTCTGCCCTTACACTGATACAAGAGGAGTGTCTCACCATGGGCACCCAGTTCAATCAATTCTCATTTTATTGATTCTATTAGCACCTACAGTGTCCTTCATGGGAGAATAACCTGAAGAAATTTCCTAGTGCCGATTAGGTTCTTTGGATTTTTCAAGTCACCCATGCAGAACATTTTTGGTCCAAAGTTATTAAGATGACTCCCTTCTCAGCATGTCAGGAATTGCAGTTAGGCCTGCAGCCCCCAGAATGGTTTGGTTATCTGCCTCTACCCCATGAACACAACAGATGAAAGAACAATCCCCTTGACTCACTCTCCAGAAGAATTCAGAAGTCAAGTTTTGTCAGGATGGTGTGTTCACCCCCTATTTCTGAGGAATGGCCCTTACCCTGGAGAGATACCCAGTTTGAATGTTCACCTCTGAGAAGTGAATGGGAAGAGTGAAACTCAGGGTAGGGAAAAATATAAAATCTTTTTATCAACAAAGAGACTGATAACAAACTCACTGCCGTCCAATAGATTCCAACTTATAGCAACCCCTCCTTTGGTTTCTGAGGTGGTATCCCTACAGAAGTAGATTGCCCAGTCTTCCTTCTGGGGAGTGGCTGGTGGGTTTGAACTGCCAGCCTTCTGGTTAGCAGTCAAATGCCTTAGGCACTATGCCACCAGAGCACCCTAGAGACTGATATATGTATTTATTTATATTTTTCCCTCTAGATATAAACCCTCTGAAGAATTTCTTAATGCATGCCAGGCATTAAGCCAACATCTGCCAGAAATTGGGACCACCACTGACCGACTCTTGGTATTCTGATTTTTCATTGTCATGCAAGATCTCTGTACTGTTTAAGCACTTACTTCCAGCTGGGTAATGTTGGTCCTTTGCCCAAGGCAGCCGGGTGAGTGTGCGCATGTGTCCTCCCCTGGGTGCTCTCTCTTTGGCTCACGACCTCTGCTGCCTGAGGTGATTGATTATGCTGAAGAAATGAAACCAATTGACATTCACAAGGAAACAGGCCAGGTACACAGAGGCACTTACCAAGTGTTATTAGGCATTGCACCCTGACTGGCATAAAACACTATTTGTGGCTTAGGCTTAAAATGGCCTCATGGCTTGAGAGAACTGTGGGTAGAGTAGAAAGAGCATGTAGAAAAGGAAACGTGGGTTCTGTTTACAGGACCATCACCGGTGAGATAGTGGGCAAGCCAGTTCACCTCTGAGGACCTCAGTTTCCCTATTAAAGGAAATGAGGGGGTGGGCGGGATGTCTCCACTGCCTTTAAGAACTAATATTTCATTTGGTAGTCTTTATGGGTTTCCTTATAGTGTACCTCTGGGCCAAGGGACCAGAAACAAGAAAATGCAATGACTTGCTCCCTAACACCTTCATGGTCCAAGGGGATTTAAACATATAACCATTGGGTTTTACTTTTAATCAAGAGATACTGGCACAGAGATTTTCCTATGAGAGCAGCTGATAAGACCCAAAGTAACAACCTGTAAGCATTTAAAAAATCCATTTTTTTCTCCTTGCAGGAGAGTCCCAGTAGGTTTTTTTTTTTTTTTTAAAAAAAAAAACAATTCAGCACTGTTTCTTGCTTACACAATCCATTTTCACTATTTTATCTTAGCTGATTTTGCAGATAGCTACTCCTAGACTATTAAAGAACCAATCCACAGCGTGAGTCTTCCTTGAAACTCCTGTTACTGAATTACAAAAAAGAAAAAAAGCCAAACTCACTGCCATGAAGTCGGATCTGACTCATAGCCACCGCTCCTTGGGTTTCCGAGGTGGTATCTCTACAGAAGTTGGTTGCCCAATCTTCCTTCCAAGGAGTGGCTGGTGGGTTTGAATAGCCAGCCTTCTAGTTAGCAGTCAAATGCCTTAGGCACTACCTTCTTAGCTCTTCATTTAAAATCCACCAATATGTTCCTTAATATTAGCATCTTTTTCCGATTCTTTAGAGAATTCCATGGTAAAAGGAGATACTCTGATATATAAAAAGTGTTTCAGCCACCAAAGATCTTTTTCTGCCCCAGAAAAATAATCAGAAGAGGCATGTAGCACAAGCCTTGTACCACACCCATGTTAAGATCAAAGCACAGGATCACCACCTGCTTTAGAGACAGAGTGGCTTGTAGAAGGATCTTACTCTGTAGAGCTGTGGGAGTAAGGAAGCTTGGTATTACTTTAACCCCTATTTCATAGATGACACAAGCAACGTTCAGAAAGAGTATGTGTCTTCCAAGGTCACACAGCAGAACCAGGACTTCCACCGTGGTCACTTTGATTTTGTGACTCCAAGTCCAATACTCTTTCCAGTATAAAAACACATTTCCTATACTCCTCGGAAGGAAGACCGGGCAATCTACTTCCGTAGTGACACTGCCTCGGAAACCCAAGGAGGGGTCGCTATGAGTCGGGTCCGACTCGACACACATAATAACAACAACAACAACAATTATCAGAATGAGTGTGGCATCTTTTCTAGTAGTCATACCTCAGTAGAGTCTCCTGTCCTTTAGGTAATAATCTAAACATGTCCTCTTTTAAACACTTGGGTGATATCATACACAGAGTTGATGTCATTGACTCTGGCACTCTCCTTATTCAGAGTTCTCAAGGAACTGAATACTATGGATAGTGGGGTCCTACTCTGGGTTATTAAGCATTCTACTCTGATGGTCCTCGGAAAGCTTAAAAGCCAAAAACAACTTAAGCACACCTATGTAGGGTTTTATTTTAAGCATAAATTGGGTATGTTTTTTGTCTTAGCTTTGAGCATGCATTTTTCCCATTAGTCAAATGCTGTGACTTTCCAGCTATGCTTATTGAAAACACACAAGAGCCCTGGTAGAATCTAGGGCAAGGTCAATATGGGCTGGCGGCTATGACTGTGAAAGGGAGTGCCTTCATCATCCTGTGCATACAGAGGGTGATCTAAATCTCAAACGTCTGGTAGACTTCTTATTACTGTTGTTGCCCTCCCAACCCTCCTTTCTGTCCTTCTACCTCACCTTGGGGAGGGCAGAGGGGATGATCGCACAGGTACAAAGTATATTGTTACATTCTCTGTCCCACCAGCTCTGAACTCTCCGGGAATAAATCACATGGAATATTAGAGGGAGCTGAAGGGATAGAGGCAGAAGCATCCAAAGCTGATTTTGTCTGGTGGAAACTAGTACCCTAGCTGGGGCATTCCAGGCCAGGTAACCTCCAGAAATTGAAAACTCTTGGTATTTCAGAGGCAAAGCTTGAATACTGTCAGTCAAGAGTGGTTCCGCGTCTCCAGCAGAAAGTCATCTAGCCCTGCTGTGGTGGCTGCCTACCTCCGCGGGGTCCAGCCCTACTCTCCCCACTTCCTAAAGCTGCTTGTCAACTTGGCTGATGGCAACGGGAACACAGCCCTTCACTATAGTGTTTCCCATTCCAACTTCTCCATCGTGAAGCTGCTGCTGGAGACAGGTCAGAAATGGTTGCATCTGCTCAGTCTGGGTCCCTCTGTGAATGGCAATTCTTGTATTACATTTCTTTCCAACAAGGAAATTCTTCATTGTCCCAAGTTTCTCCTTTATTCCAAGAACTGGGTTAGACCATTTTGTCTCTATTATGTCATTTATTCTTTACAGCACTCTTATGGTGTGGACATTATTATTCTCATTTTGCAGTTAAGGAAAACTGAGGCTCAGAGAGTTATGAAACTTGCTCGGGTCCCAGTGCTGGTAAGTGGTAGTGAGGTTTTGAACTCTGGTTTGTCTTATTCCAGAGCTGTATAACATATTGGCTTAGGAATGGTCATGTTTTAACCATCTTCATAGGATACTTTTAAACAAAAACCATGACTTCATTTGACCAATTGGATTCATTTATCTTTCATCAGGTATTTAGTGACTATGTGTAGGTCCTTACTGGCTACTACAAGGGATGCAAAAGTGAACCAGGTGTGAGCCCTCTGCTTCCCAGGAGCTTACAGCCTAATAATCAGGGTGGAATAAGAGTGATGGCTCATAAGACAGAGATGTAGAATGTGATTTAGAGACTCAGAAGAAGCAAGAACTTGTCCAGTACAGGGAGCTGGAAAGGTGTACTGAGGTAGGTGAGGTTCCAGCAGTCAGAGAAACGGTCCCAGGTGAAGAGAACACCTTGTTGTTGTTAGTTGCTGTCACGTCAGCTCCAACTCCTGGTTACCCCTTGTACAACAGAATGGAATGTTTCCTGGTCCTGCACTATCTTCATGATCATTTGTATGCTCAAGTTCATTGCTGTGAACACTGTGTATTTTGAATACCTTCCAAACTAGGGATATCATCTTCTAATACTGTAACTTGCTGCCGTCGAGTCAGTCCTGACTCATAGTGAACCCTCCTTGGGTTTCCAAGGCGGTATCTCTATGGAAGTAGATTGCCCAATCTTCCTTCCCAGGAGTGGCTGGTGGGTTTGAACCGCCAGCCTTCCAATATTGTATCAGGCAGTATTCTATTGTGATCCATAGGGTTTTGACCGGCCAGGATTCAGGAGTATATCGCCAGGCCTTCCTCTTAGTATGTGTTTGGAAGTTCCACTGAAACCTGTCTACCATAAAAACTCAAACCAAACTCACTGCCATTGAGTCAGTCCCAACTCATAGCAACCCCTCCTTTGGTTTCCAAGGCAGTATCACTACAGAAGTAGATTGCCCAAACTCTCCCAACCTTTCTTCTGAGGAGTGGCTGGTAAGTTTGAACAGCCAGCCTTCTGGTTAGCAGTCAAATGCTTTAAGAACTACACCACCAGAGCTAGTATTTGAAATACTGGTGGCATAGCTTCTACCATTACAGAAACACACAAGCTACTCCAGTAGGACAAATTGACAGATGGATGGTGAGAGAATACCTTATAAGGAATATAAAACCCTATTTAATGTCCACTTAGTAGAGCTCTGGTGGCATAGTGCCTAAGGCATTTGGCTGCTAACCAGAAGGCTGGTGGTTCAAACCCACCAGCCACTCCTTGGAAGGAAGGTTGGGCAATCTACTTCCCTAGTGATACTGCCTCGGAAACCCAAGGAGGGGTCGCTATGAGTTGGATCCGGCTTGATGTCAGTGGGTTTGGTATTAGGGCTTCTGCTAAGCACTTGACCCATGTCATTTAATCTTACAACAATCCTGTTATTAAGTATGATTTTTTCTGTGTTGAAGATGAGGAAAATGACACAAAAGTGAACAAACTTGCCTAGATCACTAAGTGATGAAATAAATGTGTTGCTGGAATTGCAAGTCCAGGATGTTGAGTTGCTAATTCCATTGCTGGCATCCAGGAGCATATGCTATATCTGTGACCCTTATTTTAGGAGCCTGAGTTGGGAGTTTAAATAAACATTAAGAAATCTGATTTCAAGATCCAGCAGCTTTCCATGAACTTGTATCTTGTCTATCCTGGCTTGAATCCCTGCCAAGGCTTCCTATTGCTTCTGAATGAAAAGCAGCTTCCCCATCCTCATCTTTAAAATCTCATACACCCCAGCTGCTGCCCACCTTTGCCATCCCTGCTGCTTTGGTTCTGCGCTCCTCCTTCCTGCCACCCCAACATGCTGGCCTCAAGCTCCCCAAGCTCCTTCCCTCCTTGGGACCTTTGCAGTTTCTTTCTCTTTTATGTGGACTGTTTTCCTCCGATTCTTCTCATGGCTCCTTCTCATCATTCAAGTCACAGCTCAAATGTCACGTCCTCAGAAGTCACCTCCATAAAGTAGCTGCCCCCATCTCTCTTTATAGGGGAACGCTGTGTATTTCTGTAGATGATCTTTGCTTGTCATTTCTATCCAATTGAATGTAAACTCAATCAAAGGAGGTCTCTTTTGTGTCTTGTTCATGTCTGTTTCCCCAACCTATAACAGTTCTTGGCTGTCTCATATAAAATAAGTGTTGAATGAATCTATCAAATAAATGACTAATGACTCCTGAAAATCAGCCAACGAAAGCCCTATGAATCATAATGGTCTGGTCCCATTGTGCATGGGGTCCCCATAAGTCAGTGGCCAACTGATGGCAGCTAGCAACAACAACACTGTTAAAGAATGGAACATCTCTGCACTTCCACTGACTTAGTGTTCAGTGATCATCTTTTTTTTTTTTTTTTTCCTTTTTGCTGGAATGCCACTGATGAGGAGGGAAAGCATGGTTGGTGAGGTACTCAATCAAGAACTTTGCTCCTCTCTCACATCCAGGGGAGGCTGGCTTTGCTTGTTAGTGGCTGCTCTGCAGCATCTGCTAGAAAAACCTCGGGTCTTCAGACCTTCCCCTGAGCCTCTGGGGAAGAGTCAGACTTTACCCTACCAGCTACAAGTCCTGTTTCTGAAGAGATGAAAGAGAACTGATAACCTGAGGCTAATTTACACATCTTAAGAGCAGATATAAAATACTCATGAGGTGGGAAGTAATAATAATAATAAAGGATTATTAATAAGGCAATGCAAATATCATTTCTTTAACAAGATAGAATTGTGAGGCTATGCTGGGGTGTATTTGGCTTTGGCAGCTCACCTGGTCATGACAGTGGCCAGAGGGGCTGCAGGAAGGAGAGTGCCACTAAGGAGCCACACTGACAGTTCTGTACCCACTGGCATCCTGATATTACTAGCCAGCCAGTTGCCATTGAGTTGACTCAGACTCATGGTGACTCCATGTGGGTATCAGAGAGGAACTGAGCTAGCTCCGTAGGGTTTTCAGTGGCTGATTCTTTGGAAGCAGATTGGCAGGTCTGTCTTCTGAGGTGCCTCTGAGTGGACTCCAACCACCAGCCCAGTGTGTTAACTGTTTGCACCACTTAGAAATTCTAAATAGTGAGAGTGACTCCTAAAGCATGCCACCACATGTATGATAGGGTGAGTGATAGGCTTTAGGGCCTGACAGGTGTGGGTCCGGTTCACACTTCACCTTCATTTGGGCCGTTCCTGTAACTTCTGTGAGCTTTAGTTTCCTCATCTATAAAATGGGGATAATGTCTTATACTCTGATTTAGAAAACATAATGAGGTCATTGCTCCTTAGCTATCGCTAACCTTGCCGTGAACCTTCCTTCCTTTGTTTCCTCAGAAAAGTTGTAAAGAAAAGAAGCCAGTTTTTGTTTCTTACTTTATTGTGAAATATATGTAACAAAAAGTTTGCCATCTTAATCATTTTTAAGTGTATAATTCTGTGGCATGAGTTATATATACTATGTTGTGCTACTATCATCACCACTATTCACAAACTGTTTTTAAAAGTTTTACATAACCCCAAACAGAAACTCAGTACCCCTTCAGCAGTAATTCCCATCCCTCCCTTCCCCAGTCCCTGGTAACTACTAATAGACTTTTTGTCTCTATACATTCACCTATTCTAGATATTTCATGTAAATGAGATCTCATAAAGTGTCCTTTTTTTGTCTGATTTATTTCACTTAGCATAATGTTTTTGAGGTTAATCCATGTTATGGCCTGTATCAGAACTTCATTTCTTTTTATGGCTGAAAAACATTCCATTGTATGGATGTACCACATTTTATCATTCATCTATTGATAGACACATGGGTTGCTTCCACCTGTTGGCTATTGTGAATAATGCTGCAATGAACATTGATGTGCTGAAGCCAGTTTTAAAGGCTGCTAAATTGTAAAACACCTACTCCACTACTGTGGAAAGGATTCCTCTATTCTGTGCATGGCCTTTTAACCAGCAGGCAGTGTCCTGTTGAACTGACCAAAGCCAAGTCTAACTTGTGACACCTCGGAGATTGCTCCTGTACCCCACGCCCATTGCTCCTCTTGCAGGCCTCTGCAATGTAGACCATCAGAACAAGGCTGGTTATACCGCTGTGATGATCACTCCCTTGGCTTCTGCTGAGACCAGTGAAGATATGGCTGTTGTCTGGAGGCTCTTACGAGAAGGAAATGTGAACATCCGAGCTTCTCAGGTAGGAGGTGTGAACATAAGCTTCTCTTTAGTAAATTCAGAGGCATTTCCCCACTTTACTCTGCCAACGGGGTGAGAAATTCCAAATAGATCCATGTGGAGCTTTTAACTCCAAAAGGCTGAGACCTCCAGATGGCATCTGTGCAAAACCTGAACATTTGGTTTTCCTCAAAGATTCCTGAGACCCAGATAGGATGAGCCAGTGAACATCTACTCTGTGTCCCAGTCTAAGTGGCAAATTCCATCTGGATTCTATGTCTCAACCAATCATTCCCACAGTTAGCATCTTGAGAAGGCACTTGCTGTTTGGCTGCTCTAGGAAAGCCCCTGGAGGTGACCCATCCTGCTCCATGACGCACAGGCATCTAACTAAGCAGGATGCTAAAGATGGGCTCCCCTCTGTTGTCCCTTCTTTCCCCAAAGCCCTTTAACAAAGCCATGCATTCCCAGTGTAACGAAGAGAAGGTGTGGATAACAAGGGCAGACAGGAACTTCTGCTGAAGGGTGTGCCAGGGATTATTGGAGTGGGGACTTCCCAGGCCTCAGTTTTAGTCCAGAGTCATTGTCAAGGTCTGCTGGTGACTGATCAGTCAGCAGCCTTCTAAGAGATGGGCTTCCCAAGTTCTTTAAGTAGCCAGACCTCCAAACACTCCTATCTTCTTACTTCTTCACCACCCAATGTCACCGACCCTATTCCAGGCATGTAGTGCCCTCATCCCTGGAGCAGTGCTGTGGACCAGGCTGAGAAGAGTAGTTGCTATCATGAGCCAGTAGGGTTGTAAACAAAGGTAGTAGCTGGGAGTCAGGACATGTGGGCTTTACCAGTTCACTGTGCTACCTTGAGTCTCAGGGTCAGAAGGGTCCTTACAGGTCACCTACGTCTACCCCCTATTCTTTCTCAAAATCCTACCATCTTCCTTATACACCTCCAGTATCAGGCAACTTGCTTTCTACCAAAACAGCCCATTTTTTACTCTAGGCAACTCCGACAGTTTTTTATCCTGAGCCAAAATCTGGTACTCTGTAACTTAGAGCATTTAAGTAGGAGAAATAGTTTGCGTTTCATTCCAGGAAAGATCTTGCAAACACAAGAGGTATAGGAGGAAACTCAGAGGGTTAGGATGTCTCTGTTCAATTTCTACTTGCAAACACAAAGTAGGGGCCTGGTTTCTACCCAGTAGGCTTTTGAGTTAGAAGTCTCCACATGAAAGAATAGAAACTCTTCAAAAGGGTATTTTTCTGTCTTGGACCAATACAGGAACAAGTGGAGTTCATTTATTATATTTTACTTTTTTTTACCTTTTTATGTGATTTGAGTGAAAGTTTGTAGATCAAATTGGTTTTCCATTCAGCAATTCATACACATTTTGTTTTGTGACATTGATTGCAATCCCAACAATGTATCATCACTCTTCCCACTTCTTCCCTGTCTTTCCCATTTCCATATGTCCTTCTTTCCTAACCCTTCCTGCTGTCTGAGCTTTATTTCTGGGCAAAAGCTGTTCTTTTGATCTCATGTGGCCGATTGTTCTAAGGATTGCTATCACCCTAGTGTTACTGATTACCTTACAGACCTGTCTATTCCTTGTCTGAAAGTTTAGCTCCAGGGGTGAAGTCAGTTCCAGGCTTGAAGGATGACTAAAGGCCAAAGTCTTGAGGGTTCCACCATTCTCTGTCAGACCACTAATCCTGATTTTTTTTTTTTTTAATGATTTTGAATTTTGTTCCACATTTTTCTCAAGTGGAGTGTATTTAACTCTCTTTCTCCCCCTACAATAATCACTGATGGTCGCCAAACTATCAACATTTATAGAAAGTCTGGAGTTTTATTTTATCTTCAAGGTAGTAAATTAAGCTGGATGTTGGCAGAAGACAAGAGGCTCTTGTGTCAGAAACAAAGGACAGATTATCCTCACCGCAATAGCAGTAGCCACATCATCAACATTTGCACCAGTTTCCCAAACCCCAGTTCATATAGGGTGGTATGAGGTGGGCCAGATGATACTTCCACATGAAGTAGATTGTGTTATCAGAAAGGAACAGTGAGTTTAAGGAACCGGAATCTTTTTTAATGGACAATAAGCATGCCTGTCCTTTGCTCTGGAGGGAGACACTATCTCTCTTCCAAGGCTGTTCCTATACAGCATCCATGAAAAGATAGACTGGAACAGAAAGGCAGATAATGCCACACTCATAAAACATGCACAAAGGCAAAAGACCCATGGAAAATTGTCTTCAACAATATGTGTAACTCCCCTGTTCCTCGCCCCCAATTTCCCCACCAAAGAGATGGCAGATGGTAGCCTAACCTGGTTGTAAAGTCACTTTGTATGCTTCACCTTGTAACAGTCTACTGATAGTGAGAAACAGGTATTTGTGACTACTTTCTGGTTTTCAAAGTATTTTCACCCATCTACAACCCCTACCCCATTGGACTCAATATAGGTATTTTCATTTTAATAATTATATTTCCCGTAAACATGGTAGTTTTTCCTGAATTGGCCTCTTGCAAGAGAGGATGTTTGCCAGTGATGAAGTCAACAACCACCACCACCACCCTTTTTTTTTTAACAGAGGAGGAAACTGATGCTCTAAGAGGGTAAGGAACTTATCCCAGGTCACCAAAGGAGAGGCAGAAATACAGAGCTACAACTGTTCCCTTCAGCTACCCCCAGGGGCCTTATACATATAAGGAGAAGTGAAGGCACTAAGTTATATAAGAGTGAGTGGAAGGCTGGGGGTCTCCTGGCGATAAACTACTTATGTCTCTATGCATCTCCAGGGCCAGTCATAGGTAGCACCTTGTAAATGATGGTTGAGTTAAACTCTGTTGAACTGAACCAGGAAGGAGATAAGGAAGAAAGAGACTTGGGGTCAGGCAAAAAGGCAGATACTGAACACAATCTGGGTATATCATCTGGCCTTAATAACACTTGGGGACAGAGATCTGGATGGAAACCTAGTTGTCTGCTTAGACCAGTAAACAACTGTTACTTCTGAACGGAGTAAAAAGCAGACCAAAAAGTGAACAGGCATCTCTGGAAAGATCTGCCTGAGCCTCAGAGAAAGGGAAAGTCAAGGACATCTAATAATACGTTCCCAGGTATTGAGCACCTGTGATAGGTCAAGCATTTGTCATACAGTATCTCTAATCCTCATACTGATCATTATATCTGACAGTTACCTAGCGTTGGTAAAGTGCTCATCTCTGCCCTAAGCTTTTCCCATGTGTATTAACTCCTTCTGTTCTCACAACACCCCTATGAGATGGGTAATATTATTAAACATTCCTATTTTACCAGATCAGAAAAAGTCACAAAGAGGTTAACTTGCCCACTTTCAGAAAGCTAAGTGGTAGAGCCAGGACTTTTCTGATTCCAACTCCTTTCTTTTCTCTGAGCCCTAGTGTTCTGGGCAAGGAAGCATAATCCAACAGTGACTGTGGTTTGGAGCTTTAATCAGTTAACACATCAGCAAACATGCCTTCAGCATTTTTTATGTGTAAGACACTGCTCAGAGCCACAAGGAATCTGAAAGAAGAAAAAGAACATAGTCCTGGCCTCATTATTACAACTTTTCAAAGCATGATGGCCAATCAGGGAGACAAGCTTCACTTGCCTAGAACCCAAGAGAACCCTGGGGGCAAAATATAATAAAGTAGTATAAGGGTACTGTGGATATACACAAAAATGTTGTTGTTATGTACCATCGAGTCGACCTGACTCACAGTGACTCCTCCTTGGGTCTCTGAGGCAATATCACTAGGGAAGTAGATTGCCCCATCTTCCTTCCGAGGGGTGGCTGGTGGGTTTGAACCGTGAGCTTTCTGGTTAGCAGTCAAGTACCTTAGGCACTATACTACTAGAGCTCCCTGCTCTATATTACTACCTTTATATTTCCTTTGATTCCTACAAAAGCCCTGTGAAATGCATAGGACAATCATTATTATATTAATTTATAAGACAAGAAAAGCCAAGATTCAGGGAAGGCTAGTGATGCACTGTAGCCAGGGTTATGCACTTGCAAACAACAGAACTAGAACTTGGACCCAGCTTTCAGACTGTAATCCATTGCTAAGCCAATGGCTACAGATTAGAAATAACCACAAGGAAATGCAAATAGCTATCTAGCTGAGGCAAGATTGTTCTGGGTATCATTAAATGGTTGCCATAATTTTAAAAAGATAAGATAAAATGGGAAAATACCAGAGACATTCACAGCAGGCCAAGGCTTTGTGGACCAAATCAGATGGGGGCAGACAGTAGGAAGCTGCAGGGCTGGAGCAGTCAGCCCTTCATTTATCCCATCATTCAACACTTACCAGCACATACTCAGTGCTGGGCACTGGGGAGACAGAGATGAAAAGGACTTAGTCCCTGCCATCAAAAATTTCACAGTTCATGAGAAAGAAAGAGGTTGACAGTTTGTAATACCAAATGATAAGTATTGAGCTGAGTTATGAATCCTGTGCCTGAGGAAGTTGGAGAGGCTTTAGAGTAGGTAGTGTTTGACTGATGTCTTGGAAGAAGACTAGACATTCGTGAGCAGAAAAGGATGCATCCTATACCGTCAGAAAAAAATTCAGATCAGTGGCCATTTTCTTGAGAAATTTTCACCGCATATACTCTGGTGGGAGAGGGTCCATCTCTGTGGCTCTGTGTGCAGGGAGGCCAAACTGCGCTGATGCTGGGAGTGAGCCATGACAGGGAGGACATGGTCCAGGCGTTGCTCAGCTGCCAGGCAGACATCAACCTGCAAGACCACGATGGATCATCGGCCCTCATGTTGGCTTGTCACCATGGCAGTGTGGACATGGTGCGTCTACTCCTGGCACACCCGGCCTGTGACAGCAGCCTGACTGACAAGGTGAGACTTAGAGGCAATTAACAAGTAGGTATTTAACTTCCAATCCTAAGGAGGGCCTTGCCACCCAGCAGAATTCAAGGAACAGTATGGTGATAGCAACAAAATCAACCTTTATAAATTGTCATGGGATTTAATGAGATGATACATAGCAAATGCTTGAAGCTTTGGAGATGTAAAACCCCAAACCCTAGCCTTTCACACCACAATTCTGGCCTGGGCCCTGAGCCTCCTCTGGTCATAGCAATAGCAGCATGTGGTTTTGAAGCAGGAAATCTATAAAGCCAGGTAAAGGAACCAATTGTAAATTATGTCCGCTCTATGGTGGTGATCCACTCTGATGGTTCAAGAGCAACCTATTTGAAGTTACTTTACCAGACACAAGCCCCTTAAATAAACTTCCTTGTAAGGTCTTGATGATGATGATGATGATGCTGATAATGATGATCATGATGACAATGATGGTAATGATTGTGGTGATGACATCTAATATGTATAAAGTGTTTACTCTGGGCCAGGTACTGTACTAAGCATTTACAGTGGATCATCGCATTTAAATTCTACAACAAGCTCATGAAGTTGATTTTGTTGCTACTGCTACTTCTCAGATGAGGAAATGGAGGCACCAAATGGATAGGTAACATACCCAAGATCACACAGCTAGTGGAAACTAGCTCAAACTCCTAAGCCCCTGCTCTTAAAGGCTCTACCATCCTCAGTGTTGTCATGCTGAAGGATCTATGTCTCTCATTCCCTGCTAAAACCCCAGCACCCTTCTTAGTTCACTCATCAATTCTTAGTCTGTCTTGGGCCAGAAGTGTCACTGAAATGTGTTCAGCAGCAGCATGCAAACCTCCACTGACAGGTGGTCGTGGCTGCCCATGAGGTGCATTGGTTGGAAATCAAACCTGGGTCTCCTGTAAGGAAGGTGAGAATTCTGCCACTGAACTACCAATGTCCCCTACTAATAACTATCAAAAAAAAACCTCACTTCTGAAGACTCATAGTGACCCCTCCTTGGGTTTCCGAGGCAGTATCTCTATGGAAGTAGATTGCCCATCGTCCTTCCAAGGAGTGGCTGGTGGCTTTGAATGGCCAGCCTTCTGGTTAGCAGTCAAATGCCTTGGGCACTAGGCCAATAGAGTACTCAGGGGTGCCAAATCCCTTCCATGCATTACCTCCCTTAACACAATAATCAGTGAGTAGATACAGAGATCACTATTTTTACTGATAAAGAAACCAAGGATGAGAGAGGTTACGTAATTGTCCTGAGGGCACAAGCTGCTGATTAGCAGAGCAACTTCAAACCAGGTCTCACTCTAGTGTTATTAACATTGACACTGTAATTTAATGCCTTAAACATACTTCCACTATACTTTTTTAACATCCATAGTTCAAAGGGAACAAAAGCCTAGGTCAGAGAATAGAGTCCCCACCCTGCCCTGGGACAGCCCCTTTTATAAGCCACTTCTGAATTACCTTATTGTTCATCAGTGCTTCAAGCCTCATAACTCTGCCTCCAGCAGCAGGCATCACCATGTATTGTCTTCAGGTCCCACACAACCTAGCTCTGTCCCAGAGCCATTTCTGAGATAATTAGAGCACTCAGACCCCCTTAAAATTCATATGGGAACAGGGGTGGGCTGCAGGAAATAAGAGCCTCCTCTTTCAAACATTATACCAGAGAAAGAATCTGTTAACAAGCTCCCAGACAGGTCTCCCTGGGGGTGAGGAGGTAGCCTGTAATCTGGAACAGGCCTGGACATCAAAGGTCCAGGACCCTCTTAGGAGGAATCTGGGTTCAGTCATTGTGTGCCTTTGGGTAGGTCATCTAACCACTCTGAGCCTCAATATGCCCATCTGTAAAATAAATTCACTGCCATCGAGTTGATTCCAACTTATAATGACTCCCATTGGGTTTCTGAAGCTGTGAATCTTTACAGAAGTAGATTGCCCTGTCTTCCTTCCAGAGTGGGCTGGTGGGTTTGAACTGCTGACCTTCTGGTTAGCAGCCAAATGCCTTATCCACTATACCACCAGAGCTCCTAATCTGTAAAATGGGCATATCTAAATATGGTCTTGCATTTAATACATTACAAAATGTCTCATTTGATATCTAGAAGGTTTTTGATATCAATTGATAGTAACTGTTATTATTATGAATAAGTGAAACCCACCCCCCCCCCCCCCAAAAAAAGAAAATCCAAACCCACAGCCTGCTGCCACTGCCCCAGGCCAAAATGTCAGTGGTGCTGAGGTTGGGAAACCCATATTTAGGAGCGTACTGAGGTCCAAGTGAGTTCAGAGAGCCAGTCCCTAAACCTCAACCTTCTGCTGGTTCAGAAGGAGCCAGGCTAGGATGGGGACCAGGCTGGCTATAGTTGAGGGCAGGGCTGTAAGCCCAGAAGGGAGGGTCTAGAGTAGTAAAATGGAGGTGGAGGCAGACGACTTAACACAGGAGAAGGTGGAGAACTTTAGGGAGAGCCCAGCAAGCACAAGGGTATCCAGGCAAGCATGGCCAACAGGCCCACAAGGCTAGTGGATCCCAACTCCACCTAGAGCCCCAATTACGTGCTGCCTGATTGGGGCAGTGTTGATTCAGGATTTCCACACCAATTTTCCAGCTGTAGTGCTAGGGAGGGTGACTTGGGTGAGCATAGTGTCTATGCTCGAGGTGAGGATCAGCGAAAAAGGGGAAGACCCCCAACAAGATGGATTGACACAGTGGCTGCATCAATGGACTCAGGGACAGCAAAGATTGTGAGGATGGTGCAGAACCAGGCAGTGTTTAATTCTGTCATACATAGGGTCACTATGAGTCAGAGCCTACTCTATACCACCCAACAGCAACAGAGGGGAGAAGTAGGTTGATGACTGAGGCCCTCCCAAATCCTGTGCCAGGTAGTATAAATTTAAGAGGAAAATCAAGCCCTTATAATAATCACCTTATCATTTCAATCAGGAGCACAAGTGATTCAAACCTGCTCTGCAGCTCTGTGGGAGAAAGACGTGGCACTCTGCTCCCATAAAGATTGTTGTTGTTGTTGTCATGTGCCGTCGAGTCGGCCCCGACTCATAGCGCCTCCTTGGGTTTCCGAGGCAGTATCACTACGGAAGTAGGATTGCCCAACCTTTCTTCCGAGGAGTGGCTGGTGGGTTTGAACCGCCAGCCTTCTGGTTAGCAGTCAAGTGCTTTAGCACTATGCTACCAGAGCTCCGCCCATAAAGATTACAGCCTAGAAAACTCTAGGAGGCAGTTAGTTCTGCTCTGTCACATGGAGTCACTATGAGTCAAAATGACTCAAGGGCACCTAACAACAATGACAACATCATTTCAATATTTATCTTTCCTATGGAAGCTTGAAGGAGCTCTCGTAGCATAGTGCCTAATGCATTTGACTGCTAACCAGAAGGTTGGTGGTTCAAACTCATCAGCCACTCTTCAGAAGAAACCTGGAGCAATCTACTTTCATAAAGATTACTTCATTGGAAGCCCAATGGGGTTTGCTATGAATTGGGATCGACTTGATGGCAGTGGGTTTGGTTTGGTTTTTTGGGTATGGAGGCTTAGATGTTAAGTTGTTGTTGTTGTTATGTGCCGTGGAATTGAATCCAACTCATAGCAACCCCTCCTTGGGTTTCCGAGGCAGTATCACTATGGAAGTAGATTGCCCAACCTTCCTTCCGAGGAGTGGCTGGTGTTGGAGGATGGCTTACTTGGGAATTCCTTTGAAAGACTGAGAATTCATGTTCTGAAATTTGTTCCTCTCATCCTACTAAAATTTAAAGCTCAATATAAATACAGACCCCCCCTCCCCCCCCACCACCACTATCAATAGGAGGCAAAGCATTTTCCTGAGGTTAAGAAGCAATTCAAGGAAATCAGCCACCCAGTCTTTTCGGGGTTGGCAGAGTGAGTACGACAAAAAGGTGGCAGTAGGGACTGAGCACACTTTGAAGGGCTTGTTTTGACAGCTTCTCCAACCAAAAAAAAAAAAAAATGGTTGCTATTGAGTCAGTTCCAACTCATGGCCACCCCATGTGTGTCAGAGCTCCTAGGGTTTTCAGTGGCGGATTCTTCAGATGCAGATCACTGGCCTGCCTTCCAAGGTGCCCCGGGGTCGATTTGAACTTCCAGCTTTTTGCTTAGCAGGCGAATGTGTCAACTGTTTGTACCACACAAGGACTCCAGCTTGTCCAAAGCACCCATTCAAACTGAAATTTTTTTTTAATAGACTTTTTCAGAGCAGTTTTAGATTTTCAGAAAAATTGCGCAGAAAATAGAGTTCCTGCATATATATTTCCCCTTTTCCCCTACATACAGTTTTTCCTGTTACTAATATCTTGCACTGATGTGGAACATTTGTTACAATGGATGAATTATCATAGATTATTATTAACTAAAGTCCATAGTTTACATTAAGGTTCATTCTTGTGTTGAACCATCCTGTAGATTTTGACAAATGCATAATGTCATGTCTACCATCACAGTATCATATGCAGTAGTTTCCCTGCCTTAAAAATTGAAATTGACTTGCTCTCCACCTATTCACCCCTGCCCTCTCCCCAAACTCTGGATATCACTTGCCTTTTTACTGTATCCTACAGTTTTGCTTTTACCAGAAATTCATAGAGCTAGAATCATACAATATGTAGCTTTATGGGACTGGCTTCTTTTATTAGCAATATGCATTTGTAATTCCTCTATAAATTTTTCATAGCTTGATAGCTCACTGCTTTTTATGACTGAGTAATATTCCACTGTTTGGATGTACCATAGATTGTTTACTATGCCTTACTCAGACTGTGCCTTACTCATCTTTGCACGATACATAGTGGGCTCTTGATGAAATCTAAACCAAAAATAACCAAACTCACTGCCGTCAAGTTGATTGCGACTCATAGTGACTCCTCCTTTGGTTTCTGAGGTGGTATCTCTATGGAAGTAGATTAGCCAGTCTTCCTTCCGAAGCATGGCTGGTAGGTTTGAACCGCCAGCCCTCTGGTTAGCAGTCAGTGCCTTAGGCACTATGCCACCAGAGCTCCCTGATGAGATCTAGTCAAATTGAAAAACAACCCCCCCCAACACACACACACACACACACACGCACACACACATTTCTGGCTCACAGAGTCAGGCTCTCCTTAACCAGGCCTGCAGTTATGATGAGCTGCCTGCAAAGCCTGGCTCCCCACACATACTCCCTACACCCTGGACCTACTTGCCACTGGCTTGTTCCCAAGGCTCTGGCAGAGGCATTTGTGGGACACCTACCCACCCCAGGCAATCTCTTTAGCCACACTTCTTCAGCTGGGGAAGGTCCCCACTCTCACTGTCTACAGGTGAGGAGTCCACAGATGCAGGCTGTTGTGTCCAGATGGGCCCTGTTATAAGAAGCTTGAGTCCACGGAGACTGGCCCTGTGTCTCTTTCCCATCATAACAGAACCACTCACTCTTCATGTTTACATAGTGCCTGGGAAAAGACAAAGCCCTGCGGGTGGAATGCAGAGTGAGAAACACAGGCCTGAATCCAGGCTCTTCCTTCATGGGGCTGTTACTAGATTCCCCTACTTAAAACCTTTGCTTTCTTCTACTCTTGCCCAATATAAGAAAATATTCATTAGGATTTTTCAGGTTGCTCAATTTCTTCATTAAATTGAAATGAATACTTTTATGTCACCATCTGTGCTTTTCCTCTTTCAACAATGCTTACTGAGTGCCTTCCAAATGCCTGGCACCAGGCCAGGGGCTGGGATTTAACAATGAGAAGTTCAGATTGAGTTCCTGACCTCTGGAAGACCAATGTTTATCCAATAACCCCACAAATATCAAATTATAAATAGTGATTAAAGAAAAGTAGGGAGAGTCATGAGGACTTTTCAGAGAAAGAACTTTGTATATTTTGTGAAAACCACATGCCATTCTTCAGGTTATTGTGGGATTATCCATAAGCAAGGTAAGCATGGGCTTACTTGTGCTTACTTACTAATCTGTAGTGAACAGTTTCACATTTTTCACATCAAAGATTCTGCTTCTAGGTATGGCTGGCATCTGTCTCTCTCCTAGCCCCATAGCACCTTCCTACAGAATCAAAGCCTCTTCAAATTTACAGTTCCTAACAGGGACGGAGTACCCAGTAAGCAAAATAAGCACGAGTTTAGATGTGGTGAGAACATTTGAAGCTGTTTAGTACAGATTAGTAAGTAAGCACAAGTAAGCCCATGCTTGTATTTATCTTTCCTATGGAGCAGATCCACTCTATCACATGGGGTTGCTATGAATAAGACTCAACAACACTCATTGTTGTTCTTATTATGTGCTGTGGAGTCGGACCTGGCTCATAGCGACCCCTCCTTGGGTTTCCGAGGCGGTATCACTATGCATGTAGATTGCCCAACCTTCCTTCCGAGGAGTGGCTGGTGGGTTTAAACCACCAGCCATCTGGTTAGCAGTCAAGTGCCCTAGGTATGCCGCCAGAGCCCCTCAACAACACTCAGTAACAGTTATTTACATGTCTTTGGAACTCAATGGCAGCTGAGTTCTATCCTGGTGCACAGGGACCAGACTGAGACGGTTTAAACTGGGTCTTAACACTTTCCACCAGCTTATTTGAAAGAATGTTTCACATTTTAGGATGGTAATTCCCAGCAAGTATTGTACCAATAATTCTATACAGTGGAGAGCAATCTGATGGGGTCTTGGGTATCCCCCAAACAAACGCATTGATATTTCTGCAGCAAATGTATAAATATGTAGCATAGATAGACTCAGGTTGGGTTCCCCTCTAAATGAGTTAGCAAAAGTCTGGTTGTCGGAGCCGTTTAGATTTCAGAACTCTAAATATTGATCTGGCTCCTCAAAGCTTGCAGCTGCCCTCGTGGAGGTCAGAGTCCATGGCTACCCTGCTCCTGTCTCATGTCAGTCTGTCCCTCATCTCTGTATAGAGAATGACCAATGTTGACAGCCTCTGAATGTAGCTTTTTAGGCAGCAGTTAGCAGTCTCCTGCATTTCAGGAAAACGTTACTGCACCAACTTTATGATGGAAACAATATATGTTGTTTCCAAGTCTTCAGCATGCCAATGGAAGGAGAAATGGTTGAGTAAATTATGGGAAATTATGTAACCGCTGGAGTTCCTGAACAGTGCAAACAGGTAATTCACTCAGCTGCTAACTGAAAGATTGCAGGTTTGAGTCCACCCAGAGGCACATTGGAAGAAAGACCTGCAATCTACTTCTGAAAAATCAGCTACTGAAAAACCTATGAAGCACAGTCCTACTCTGACAGACACAGAGTCACCATAAGTCAAAATCAACTCAGTGACAACTGGTAACTTGTTTATACAGCCATTAAAAAACTCATGTGCCATGATGACTGTATAAACGAACAAACACAACGCACTGCTGTCAAGTTGAATCTGACACAAAGCAACCCCTCCTTGGGTTTCCGAGGCAGTATCACTACGGAAGTAGATTGCCCAACCTTCCTTCCGAGGAGTGGCTGGTGGGTTTGAACCGCCAGCCTTCTGGTTAGCAGTCAAATCTCACAGCAGGTCATGGTGAGTTAAAAGTAAAAGCAGATTCAAAATTGATATACGCTATCATTCTTCTATTTAAAAAACAATACATTTGCATATGAGAAAAGACTGAAGGCACACATGCCAAAATGCTTCCAGTTTTAGGTCTATATAATGGAATAGTGGAGATCTATATAATGGAATAGTGGAAGATTTATTCTGTTTTCTAGTCTTAAAAAAGTGTTAAAAAATGAAACAACACTTCCTTATTTCCATTGCCACAAATTTCCCAGGAATGCAGACTGTTTCTGTGGAAGGCATTTGAATCTCTTTCTCTCTTAGGGTCTCTGGATCTAGGAATATATTTCTATATCCCATCCATACCTCTGTGGCCCAATTTAACGTTCCTCTTTCACACCTCACCCGCAAACCATGCTGGGGTTTTAGAGATTGAGGTAGGACGCAGATGGGATAAACTTTCTCATTTTCTTTCTCCTCTGTAGGCTGGCCGCACAGCTTTGTCCATCGTCTCAAAATCCCCCGCCCATGTGGAAATTGCAGGGCTGCTGCGGACCCACACGGAACAGGGCAGGTTCCTAGGGCCATAGGGGCTTCAAGAAAAGCTGGCTGCAAAAAACAAAAGGCGCCTTCTCTGGACTCCTCCATCGCCTTGGAGAGGGCAGGGGTCATAGCCAGAGGGCTGCGCCTCAAGCAAAGAAACTATGTCAAATATGCACATACATTCCTGTTGTATAATTCTGCTCATTAGGATGCTTTGTAGTTTTTGCCTAAGGCCAAGCCCCGAAACTCCATGAATTTCAGAGCAGGGTGCAAGGTGCAGAGTGCATCAATGTCATCTCTAACTTCCCAACATCTTCAGACTTGAATTCCTCTTGACTCTACCCTCGGTGGCACCGTGCAGCAAACGGGCAGGCAGGAGCACATTAGAAAAGCAATACTTTTTACATAGAATTTTGAAGCGCACCGTCCTTTTATTTTTTAATCAGTTATATACCAATATATCCCACTGAATATGCATGTCTACAGAGGATAGCATTCATTCTCTATAGGGCCCTGTGAAAATCATTACACAGATGATGAAACTGAACAGTCCCACTTTGGGGTCTTTGTTTAGACAGAGTTGATCAAGAGATCTTATATTCAGAGAAGCACATTGGTGTCAATGCCATCCAAATGGTCTTGACCATTTCTGAGTTACAGAGAGGGCTTAGTTTGCTTCAGGGAAATGGAATTAATTAGGAAATCCAGTCCAGCGAAGCACACCCGGTATATTTAGGCAGAGTCCAGTTATATCAGCTGTTCCAACCTGGTCAAAGAAACAAATGAACCTGAGTGACCTTCCTCCTGGGGATGGGATACTGTCATCTAGAAGCCACCTCATTTCCTCCATATCTTCACGGTAACCCCCAGTCCTCACCTTTTATAGCAGCCATGAGTAAATATCTGCTGTGAGGTTTTTCGGGCTCCTGACTGCTGGACTTTTTAGCAGGCTGCAGCGGGAGTGTGGGAGTGGGACAGGGAAGGGAAGGGCCTGCCGGGGGCTGACATCTTGCTTCATTGGGAAAGTCTCCCTTAAGCTTATGTATTCTCTGGGACCCACACGTGCATGGCTCCTATTCAGTAGCTCCCACAGATTATGTAAGAATTTGTTCTTTCTTAAATTCTCTTCTGTGAAAGTCTCCTTATATAAAAAGGAAAGATGTCAAAGTTTCAGAGCCTCACGTTTCGCTGGAAACTCAAAAGCTTGAGTTCTCATCGTGGCTGGGATGCCAATTTGCTTTGTGCCCTTGGTGAGTCACGAAACCTCCCTGGGCTCCAATTTCATCATCTCTAAAAAACAGAAATCATCACTCAACCTACCTTCTGGGGCTGTTGCACAAGGAATAGCTGATGGAAGTTTTGGAATCCAATTTGTAATCCTGGAAGGCTCTTTACAGAAGTGGTGCGGCAGACTTCTTTACATTTTGTGATTCATGAGAAAGATTCAAAGTCCCAGAGCAAGAACACTGACACGTGATGGTGCTGCTCAGAGGTGCAGAAAATGGAGCAAATAATGAGCTGAACATGCTTTAAATGGGTTTATTTTGATCCCAAAACACATTTAAGAGCTAGAATCTATCTTAATAAATGTTCTAGCCCAGGGCTTCTCAAACATGTATGTGTGATCTTGTTAGAATGCAACAGGGCTGGGTGAGACCTGAGGTTCTGCATGTCCAGCCAGCTCCCAGTGGACGTCGATACTGCTGGGCCAGGACCACACTTTGAGTAGCAAGGCTCTGGCCTATCCTTACTGTTTGTATATTAAAATGCTGTCTCTCAGTCTTCTGTTGAACATTTCCTTGCATTTCACTGCTCTTGGTTCTGAGGAGTTTGCAACACCAGTCTTGCTGGCTGTTGTATCCCTGCAGACAGCAACAGGGGGTCTGTATCCTATTTTGTCAAGTAAAGGTCTAGCTCAGTATCTCATATTTGTTGTTGTTGTTATGTGCCGTCGAGTTGGACCCGACTCATAGCGACCCCTCCTTGGGTTTCTGAGGCAGTAGCACTACGGAAGTAGATTGCCCAACCTTCTTAACGAGGAGTGGCTGGTGGGTTTGAACCACCAGCCTTCTGGTTAGCAGTCAAGTGCCTTAGGCACTATGCTACCAAAGCTCCTATCTCATATTGGGTCACTTTATTAAAAAATAAATAAATGAACAAAACTCTTTGAGTCCAGCTATTGAAGACAGCTTATTTACCAGAGAAGGCAAGCTAATTTTCCTAGCTTTGCCTTTATAAAAAAAAAAATTTGTCCATCCTTTCTAAGATTTTAATACTTTTCTTTGAATCTTGAGATTGGAATGTAACATATGATCTCATCTCTTTTAGCCATTTCATTCCATTGTGCCTGGGTCCAGACTTGGTGAGATAAAGAATCACACATAGAGCTCCCGAACCCCGTTTTCCACCCTGTCATTACTGTCTCTTGGCTCTAGAACTCATTCAGCAGGTATCTTTTGCACACCTGCCAGGTGCCTAACACCACTCCCAGCACTAGCTTTTAGAAAACAGCATTGACCCCTTCTACATAAAGGTATAGGGTTACCATGATCCCAAATCCCATCTTTCCAGGCCCTTAAACCAAGACCCCTCTGATTAACATATTTGTCACAGCTAAGCCTTCAGACAATATAAATCAGCCTTCCTGGTGTCCAGGACTAAGCTCAGGCCTGGAGAGAGACCCCAGATATTTTATCCCCCTCACTGCCTTCATGGTGCTTTTGGAAGATAAGACACATGTACCAGTGGTAAAGAATAAGACCAGGCAATATTGTTGACTCCACAAATATTGATGGCGGGCCCACTGTCTGCAGGCACTGGGTCACATCAGAGACATCATAGTCTCTTGCCTCACCATCTGCTTGGAAAAACTGATAGATGGTGAGAAGTACAACAGGGGCACCAACACCACCCCCACCCCTGAGCAGGTCTTAGGAAGTCAGGGCAGCATTCCTGGAGGAAGTGGCATCTGCACTGAAAATTAAAAGATTAGTGGATGTTGGCCAAAAAAAGGGAAGAAAAGTGAGAGATGAGAGTATACCAGGCAAAGAGAATGGTCCCGCCAAGGCCAGAAGGAGAGCAGGCAAAGGGTTGCTGTATAGAGTTTGAATGAGACAGTGAGATCAAAGGATATATCTGTAACACGTACAACTGCAATGACATGGAGACAAAATCGTAAAGGGCCCTGAAAACCATGGTAAGGTGTTATGGGTTGAATTATGTCACCCAAAAAAATATGCTGAAGTCATAACCCCTTTGCCTGTGAATGTGACCTTGTTGGAACTAGAGTCTTTGAAGTTATTATCAGTTAAGTTAGCATGGTGTCATACTGGAGTAGGGTGAGTTCTAATCCTATATGATTGGAGTATACTTAGAGAAAGAGGAAAGATGGCCATGTGGTGGTGGAGACAGATGTAGCTGTCAGTCAGGGAACAGCAAGGCTTTCCATGAGCCACCACCAGAAGGTAGTAGAGAGCCATGGACCAATTTCTCAGAGCCCACAGAAGGAATCAACATGGCCGAGTCCCTGGTTTGGACATCCAGCCTCCAGAATGTGAGACAATAAATTGCTATTCTTATAAATTATCCATTTTGTGGTATTTTGTTAGATAAATGCAAAATTTGCATGTGATTTCAGGGATTTAGAAATCTGTGGTTAAAATCTTGCTGCTCTGGGCAGTGGGAAGCCATTGAAAAATATTAAAGAGTGGAGCCAGATCTGCACTTTAGAATGATCACAGAAACAACTTGGGGAAAACTGGGGAGGGCCAGACTGGAGACAAGGGGATGAGATAGGAAATTGTCATGAGACAGTGGGTATAAAAAGGGACCAGTTAATGGTGGCAGCAGTGGAGATAAAGAATGAGGCCCCATGAAAAAGGCATCAGACATAGGGATACGCAGGATGCAGTGACAAACTGGATGGTGGAGAGGGGTCAAGTGTGGTTAACAACAGAATGGTTACACTATTATCCCCCAAATCCATTCTTTTTTTTTTTTTAATTTTATTTTGATTTGGGTGAAGATTTACAGAGTAAATTCACTTTTCATACAGCAGTTCACATATATTTTGTCGCATGTCATTGACCAAAATTTACAATGCAACAGCTTCCCTCCCACTTCCTCCCCATAGTTACCTCTTCCCAGTGTCCATCCTTCCATACTCTCCAGCGCCCTGAGCTGTCTCCCTGTGCATAAGCAGCCCTTCCTTCTCCCATGATTGTTCTCTCCAGGCCAAATCCATTCTTCCTTTCCTCCTTAGTAATGGAACTCCCAGTTTTCAGCAAGACACGTGGCTATTTGAGTAGAGACTTCATTTCCTAGCTCCCCTTGCAGTCTAATGGGCCACATCAAAAAGTTCTGGTTGATAGTATGTGAGTGGAAGTGAGGTGGGCAAACTCCAGCTCCTGTATTTAAAGGTAAGGAAATGCATTTCTCCTTTCCCACTGGTTGGGACATGATGGTGATCCTCTTGCACCGTAAAGATGAGGCCTCGGGATAATAGTACTGCAAGTCAGAAGGAGCTTATGTCTCCAACACTATGAAGCTGCCATATCTGTTCTGGACTGATTATTTCCTAATAGGTAAGCAAGAAATTATCTTCTTACTTGCTGAATCACTGTACATTTGGATCTTTGTTTCTGCAGGAGTTAGACACTCAGCACACTCATCATCCATGATAGTCTCTGGTGAATGGATGGATGAGTGGATTTCAGTGGAGGACAGGTTTGGTGGAAAAGTCTGGGAGAGGCCTTTCAATGGCTAGTGAAGGTGTAATAGATATCTTCTCAACAGTGCTGGCCCCTATTCACTGCCCATAGTGAAATCACCAGCCCACAACCGTGGAGAAATTATGACCTATGTACCTATGCCCTAACATTCCTGGACACAAGCTTTGCACCATAAGACCAGTCCCCAAGCAAATTAGTGCCTGTGAAATGGCCTGGTGTGGAAATATGGGCAGAAGGATATATCAGAGGAATTTGAATGAAAAGACATTTAGAGTTTCAGGTAATAGAAGTAGGTTATGGTCACAGGGTGAAGAGAG